GGGAGGTAAAGGTAGTTTAGAAGGTTAATATCTGCCCTGTCTCAGGTGATGTAAGACTAATATAAAATCTGCTAGGTGTTTGTGTCTTTTATTGATTGTGATAGTGTGTTAGAAACACTGCTGTAATAATTATAGACTAATAATAAACATTAGACCCAACCATTAAGCTAATAGCAACAAGAGATAGTGAAAGATACTACATACTCAGGAAAAGAAAAATTCACCAAGAGGATATTGCAATTCTAAACATTTATGCACCAAACACAAGGGCACCCAATTTTATAAAATACTACTATAGCCAAAATCATATATTGACCCTTAAACAGTGGTAGTGGTTGACATCAATACCCAAATCTTGCCAATAGATAGGTCATCAAGAAAAATAAACAAACTAACTAAACAACAACAAAAAAATTGCTGGAGATAAATTATATCATGAATCAAATGGACCTAGGAAATATTTCAGAAAATTGCACCCAAACACAAAAAATTCATATCCTTTTCTCAGAAACTCATGGAACTTTCTCCAAAATTAACCACATACTTGGACACCAAGTAAGTCTCAACAGATAAAAGAAAATTGAAATAGCACCCTATCAGACCACTATGAGTTAAAGCTAGTTATCAACAACAGAAACCATAGAAAGCTTATAAACTCATGAAAACAGAACCACTCGCTACTTAGTAAAAAAAATGAGTCAAGAAAGAAATTCAGAAAAACATTGAAACTTTTTAGAATTGAATGAAAATTAATGCTTAGTCTTAATGTGTTTCAAGATATTTGATCCCATTGTGAACCCCAAGTTTGAGAACTGTAAAAACCTATTTCTAGATGTGAAGTGGCTCACTTTAATCCAAGAGCTTTCTCTACACATGATTAAAAAGTTAGCCTTAGGTCAAGAGGAGGAACAAGAAACCAGTTGACAGGGAGTAAAACAAAAAGGAACAACATTGAGTGAAGAGTATTTAAGACAGCATGGAGAAGAAAAGGGCTTTTGGCTTTTTCCTTCTGGGACATGAGCTGAGTAGGAAGGTCAGCTGGGTGCTTTTCTGCTTTTTTGGGTTAGTAGGTTTTCAAGCTCCTGAGTTTTTATTGGTAAAACTGAATGATTGGGATTTTCTTATTATAACAACACTTACAAGAAACAATGAAAGGGGCAAGTTTATACCACTGAGTGCCTATCTTAAAAAAAAATGAAGTTATCTCCTATTAGTAACTAAATAGAACATCTGAAAGATAAAAGACAACAAGAAGAAATAACATCCAAAAGAAGTAGACAGCAAGAAAAAAAAAATCTGCACTCTGCCCAAAGTTTTGCTATGAGTCTCAGCATCTTCCTCAATACCCTGTAGGGTAGAGCCTTTCAGAGACCCTCTGTGGTAGGCTCCTGTCCTGTTCCCTATTTTCTCCCTCCTCCAATGTCCAACCTCTTTGCCTTTCCGAATGGAGATTGAGCATCTTAGCCAGAATCCTCCTTCTTGATTAGCTTCCTTAGGTGTTCAGATTTTAGTATGTTTATCCCATATTATGTGTCTAATATCCACTTATGAGTGTGTATATACCCTGTGTGTCTTTCTGAATCTTATGAAAGAAGTGGGTGATAGTAAGACCTGGAGAAGTCAGGAGTTCCACAAGGAGAGCAACAGATTTAAAAAGTCTGGGCACAGGGGTCTTTTCTGAGACTGATACTCCAGCCAAGGACCACTCATGGAGATGGCCTGGAACCCCTGCACAGAGGTGTCCCATGGCAGTTCAGTGTCCAAGTGGGTTTCATAGTAATGGGGAAAGGGACTATCTCTGACAGGAACTGATTGGCCTGCTCTTTGATCATCTCCCCTGAGGGGGGAGCAGCCTTACCAGGCCACAGAGGAAGACAATGCAGCCACTCCTGATGAGACCTGATAGACTAGGATCAGAGAGAAGGGGAGGAGGACCTCACTTATCAGTGGACTGGGGAAGGGGCATGGGTGGGGAAGAGAGAGGTAGTGTGGGATTGGGAGGGGCTGAGGGAGGGAGGTACGGGGAGATACAAAGTGAAAAACTGTAATTAATAAAAATAATTTAAAAAATCAGATAAAAAAATCAAACTCAGGGCTGAAATAAATACTAATAGAAACAAGAAATATGAAGAATCAATAAAGTAGAATTTGCTTTTTGAGAAAATCAGTAAGATCCGCAAACCTTTTGCCAAATTAACTAAAAGGTAGAGACAGATGATCCAAATTAACAAAATTTAAGACAAAAAATTGGGACATAAAAATAGACATAGGAAATCCAGAGAATCAGAAAGACATACTTTATTCCAACAAATCAGTATTCACACAAATTGGAAAACATAAAAGAAATGGACAGTTTACTTGATATATACCACCTATCAAAGCTAAACCAAGAGCAGAAAAACAATTTAAACTGACCTATAACCCCAACTGATATAGAAGTAGTATTTATACATACATCTACTAAACAAAAAAAGATGCTGAGGGCCACCTGGATTCAGTGCATAATTCTACTAGTCTTTCTGAGAAGAGTTGACCCCAACAGTCCACAAAACTAGAAACACAAACAGAAGTAACAACATTGCCTAATTCATTTTATGAGGCAACAGTTACTCTGATACCTAAACCACATAAAGACGCAACAAAGAAAAATAATTACCAACGAGTTTCCCTTATGAATATAGATGAAAAAATTTTTTCAACAAAATACTTGCTACCTGAATGCAAGAACACATATCCACCATGATCAAGTAGGCTTCATCCCAGGGAAGCTGGGATAATTCAACATAAGAAAAATCTATCAATGATAATCTACCATATAAGCAGACTAATTAACAAAAAACACATAATCATCTCATTGCACACAGAAAAGGCTTTTGACAAAATCCAAAACCCATTTATGATAAAAGTTCCAGAAAATTAGGGATAAAATGGACAACATAAAGAGGAGCCTTACAGCAATCCCACTGCCAACATCAACTCAAATGGAAACAAACTCAAAGCAATCCCACTGAAATCAGGAACAAGGCAAGGCTGCCCATTTTTTTCCATATCTATTCACTACAGTGCTTGAAGTCTTAGCTGCAGCAATAAGGCAACTGGAGGAGATCAAATCCAATTAAATAAATAAAAGTGTCAGAGAGACAGTCTGGGGATACACATAGACGACGATACCAAAAAACAGCGAGTAAACATTTTCAACAAAATAGGAGACTACAAAATTACACACAAAATTCAGTCACCTTCCTATAAACAAAAGACAAACTGATTGAGAAAGAGACAAAGCAACAAATACTCAATAAAATACTTGCAAACCGAATCCAAGAACACATCAAAGATATCATCTTCCATGACCAAGTAGGCTTCATCCCAGGCATGCAAGGGTGGTTCAACATACGGAAATCCATCAATGTAATCCACCACATAAACAAACTGAAGGAGAAAAACCACATGATCATCTCCTTAGATGCTGAAAAAGCATTTGACAAAGTCCAACACCCATTCATGTTTAAAGTCTTGGAGAGATGAGGAATACAAGGCACATATCTAAACATAGTAAAGGCAATATACAGCAAGCCTATAGCCAACATCAAACTCAATGGAGAGAAACTTAAATCAATCCCACTGAAATCAGGGACAAGACAAGGTTGCCCACTCTCTCCCTACCTCTTCAACATAGTACTTGAAGTCCTAGCCAGAGCAATAAGACAACTAAAGGAGATCAAGGGGATATAAATCGGAAAGGAAGAGGTCAAAGTGTCACTATTCGCAGATGATATGATAGTATATATGAGCGACCCCAAAAATTCAACCAGAGAACTCCTCCAGCTGATAAACACCTTCAGCAAAGTGGCAGGATACAAAATAAACTCAAAAAAATCAAAAGCCCTCCTGTATACCAAAGACAAAATGGCCATCCTGCCAAAAGCAATCTACAGATTCAATGCAATTCCCATCAAAATACCAACTCAATTCTTTACAGATCTTGAAAAAAAGATTCTCAGCTTCATATGGAGAAACAAAAAACCCAGAATCTCCAAAACAATCCTGTACAACAACAGATCATCTGGAGGTATCTCTATCCCCGATCTCAAGTTGTACTACAGAGCAATAGTGATAAAAACTGCATGGTATTGGCATAAAAACAGAAAGGAGGATCAATGGAACCGCATAGAAGACCCAGAAATAAACCCACACACCTATGAATATTCGATTTTTGACAAAGAAGCCAAAACCATTCAATGGAAAAAAGACAGCATCTTCAACAAATGGTGCTGGTCCAACTGGATGTCCACATGCAGAAACATGAAAATAGATCCATATTTATCACCCTGCACAAAACTAAAGTCCAAGTGGATCAAAGACCTCAACATAAAACCAGATAATCTAAATCTGTTAGAAGAAAAAGTGGGGAACAGCCTAGAACTCATTGGCACAGGAGACAACTTCCTGAACAGAACACCAACAGCACAGGCTCTAAGAGCAACAATCAATAAATGGGACCTCATGAAACTGAACAGCTTCTGTAAAGCAAAGGACACTGTCATCAAAACAAAACACTTGCCTACAGATTGGGAAAGAATCTTCACTAACCCTTTATCTGACAGAGGACTAATATCGAGTATAGACAAAGAACTAAAGAAGCTGAAAAGCAGCAAACCAAGTAATCCAATTAAAAAATGGGGAACAGAGCTAAACAGAGAATTCTGGACAGAGGAATATCGAATGGCAGAGAAACACTTAAAGAAATGCTCATCCTCATTAGCCATCAGAGAAATGCAAATCAAAACGACCCTGAGATATCACCTTACACCCATCAGAATGGCCAAGATGAAAAACTCAAGGGACAACACATGCTGGAGAGGTTGTGGAGAAAGGGGAACCCTCCTCCACTGCTGGTGGGAATGTAAACTTGTACAACCACTCTGGAAATCTATCTGGCACTTTCTCAGACAATTAGGAATAGTGCTTCCTCAAGACCCAGCTATACCACTGCTAGGTATATACCCAAAGTTTGCTCAAGTACACAAAAGGGATATTTGCTCAACTATGTTTATAGCAGCTTTATTTGTAATAGCCAGAACCTGGAAACAACCCAGATGTCCATCAACGGAGGAATGGGTTCAGAAATTGTGGTATTTTTACACAATGGAATACTACTCAGCAATCAAAAAGGAGGAAATCATGAAATTTGCAGGCAAATGCTGGGATCTAGAAAAGATCATCCTGAGTGAAATATCCCAGAAGGAGAAAAACAAACACGGTATATACTCACTTATATAGACCTATAAGATATGATAAACATAATGAAATCTATACACCTAAAAAAGATAATCAAGAGAGTGGACATGGGGTAAGATTATCAATCCTCGTTTAGAAAGACAGATGGGATGCGCATTGAACATATGACAGGAGTCTACTGAGCGCATTTGAAAGACTCTAACTAGCAGTGTTTTCAAAGCAAAGACTCATGACCAAACCTTTGGCAGAGTAGAGGGAATCATAAGAAAGAAGGAGAGTTAGTCTGATGAGGAAAGGATAGGAGCTCCACAAGGACCAAACA